GATAAAACTACATAATTCTAAAGCCACAAAGTTAACGATCGTACATAGATTTCATAACCATGATTTACCTTACAAAAAAATCTATAAGAAGCTACGTAATACAAAAAGTAGATAAAAACTTTGTTTCATTGTTATAAATTAACAGACATTTTATTTAATTATATATCAATAATTAAAGAGATTAATAAAATTACTTTGTAAGTAATATTTTTTCACGGAGGTGTTGTCCTCCGTTACCAAGAACAAATTGTTTATAGATATTTAAATTGTAAAGGGCCTAAATTTTAAATTTATTTTTCATTGTGCCTCATAATGTCTCGCACAAGTCCTGGTTAAGGTGCTAGTTGTTTAAGTTGAAGCCGTATGTTCAATTATCGCTCTTTACTTACCCTTTGCTTTATTTTTCCAGCTTATAAGTCCGTCCCACATTGCTACTGACACTGAAACTCAACAATTCTCATCTGTTATATAAATTCTTTATTTTCATGCTTTATTTGATATTCACTTTGTGACCTACATTGATCTAATGATTAAAACATACTTCAAATCCAGGTATATATACAAAGACTTGAAGTGAGTTAAAAATTCAATTGAGGTTGGTGTATGAAATCGAAAATGAACGGGGTAAACCCAAGTGGAAACCGAAAATCGAAACACCAAATCGATGAGTTTAGCTTGCATTTGGTTTTAAAAGTTTGAAAACTGAGGTTGTTGGTTTTTTGTTCGATTTTAGGTCTAATTGATTCAAACCGACCCATGCTCGCTTTAATATGTTGGGTGTGCTACAGTTTGAACCCTAGAAGCCTAGACCTCCTGTACCGAATTTCATTGTTTAACAACTAGACTCCACAAGATATGCATTTTTATAGTTTCAGCCAAAGTAATTTCGAAAATTAAAATAGTTTTACGAAATTGATGATGGTCTATACCTCTTATTTTATGATTTTATTGATTAACCCCATTTTTTGCATTAGGAAGAAATATATATATATATATATATATATATATATATATATATATATATATATATATATATATATATATATATATATATATTCTTTTATTGATGTAACGAATAATGAAATACCAAAACATAAAATTGGGCCCGGTAATGATAAGCTGAAATATGGGCCGGAACTGAATCACTTCGTAAACAACCGAATCAAATTACCATCTGGGCTTCACAACGAAAAACTATTGTCAAAAAGTGATTAATATCTTTTTGGTATGTCGACATAAAAAAAATGTTATATATGCAAAAAAAATTATTTTCCATCGTTACAAGTAATCGTGGGGTCGGAAAATTAGTGGTATTAAAAGACTGACACGTTCTAAAAGGACTATATATATATTTAGCTATTTGTTAAAATTTTCATTTAAAATAAGTTAAATAATAAAAACTCTGTCATCATAGAAATATGTATGTTCTTCAAAGGTTATCGCTATAAGAAATAACTATAGATACAATTAATAGCTATTATAAATCAATCATACACGCGAGATCATTAAAATCATCATAGTACGTTGACCTAAACATTGGTACACGATTGTTAATGTTGGTGGGTGTTTATTGAAATAATTCATTAGTTGGTTGGTCTCATTGAAGATAATATATTTGTGAAAGCAATTTATGGAGTATTTTTGTTACCATGTATTGGCTAGTAAATATATGTTATATGTGTAGAAACATAATTAATTATGTTTTCACCAAGAAAATGAAATGCTGATTTTGTTGGGTTGAAGTATATGACAGGATCCTTATAACATATTATGACAAGTTATATGCGACTATATTGCAAGTTATGTCGTTGGTGAAGTTTTAAAAACCCAAAATGGTGAAATTTAGAGTATAAGAAAGAAAAGGGTTAATGTTCTCTAACCAATAAGTTGTAGGATCGTAATGAGAAAAGAGATGTGTACTAGTTAAGATTTGGTCATTATGTATGAAGTGTATAATCAAGTTATGTTGGTATTTTAGGTTCAATACAAAACAAGGAGGAAAGCAAGTGAATTGACCAAAACAAAACAAGTCGGTGAGTTGGTGTGAATAACAAAAATGGAGATATATATAGATATCGATATCATACTTCCTCTTTTTGGTAAATTGTACGGGAACATGCCTAACACGTATTGAAAGAAAGTTTATGGTATATGAAAAGCATTTTGAATCGTAACTTCAATTATTTTCTTGGGTTGTATGTTAATTTTTAATGTCTATATGAAACAAAGAATTGAAACCTAAGCATGAGTTGTAGGCGAATAATTTGCATGAATCCATTACATATGAAGAAGGTAGGGAACCCTTAGATGAAGATTAGAGTTTTTACCCTACTAGATTATCTCAAAGGAGTGTGGCTTCTTGTAACATCCTAATCTCGGGGTAACTTAATTTTTTTTATTAATTACTAGTTAAATGAATAAAAGAAAAAAAATAAATAAAGCTATGATAATTATAATAAATAAATATTTGTGATCCGGAAAAAATAAATCTTGACCTTTTAATAAAAAGTTAAATTGAGGGATTAAAAGCAATATTTAACTCAAACTAACATTGTCTTGCTTTGAATTACTTTAGGGGCATTTTGTTAGAAAATTAAAGAGTCGGAGGATTAAATTGGTAACTTTAAGGTTTGAATAAGTTACCAGGCCATAAGGGATGGAATTTAGAATCGGAAAATCGTACCGGTACCGAAACCGTTATAATCGGAATATATAGAACCGGTTCCGGTTCTGGGTTTAAAAATTGGCTTTTATTCGGGTTCCGAGTAATCCGGATTTGGGTCCATCGGGTTCGGGTAAACCGGACTTGGGTCCATCAGGTCCGGGTAAACCAGGTCTAAAAACCAGAACCTGTTTTTGGAATTGGAACCACTTTTAGGGCTGGAATCGGTTTTTTGTGAAACGTTTAAAAGATGCATATCTTATTCCTTTTAACTCCGATTGACATACGGGTTTATCAAACATGTAGTTTAGAGTTTGTACATGATTTTAGATTATAAATTTGCCATTTTTTATTTTATATTCATTGACTTACAGTCCCTCAAAGTCGATATATCAAAGCTGTAATTTTTAATTTTTCAGTTATTTTTCTATTCGGTGAAAGTTTTAAAACATGCATATCTAATTCGTTTGAAGTCGGATTGACATGTGATTTTTTCCAACTTGTAGTTTACAGTTTGTATATTAGTTTAGACTATAATTTTGTCATTTTTGGTTTAACATTCAATGATTTACAGTCCTCCGAAGTCGGGATATCAAAACTGAAAATTTCAACTTTTCAACTATTTGTTTTTGTACTTTGTATTATGTGAAAATGTTAACACATGCATATCACATTCGTTTAAATTCGGATTGACATGCGCTTTTTTTCCAGAGTGTATTTTAGAGTTTGTACATGATTTTAAACTATAATTTTGTTAATTTTGGTTTCATATTCAATGAGTTACAATCCTCCAAAGTCGGGATATCAATATGAAAATTTTCACAGTTCAACCCACTAAGTAGCAAGTAATTACTAAAAAATCTGGTTTTTCTGGGTTACCTGTTCTAAACTCACTTTATCCGGTTCTAACCTACCCACTTTGATGTTTCTGGGTTTTTCAGTTTTAGACCCACTTTACCAGGAACCGAACCGGAACCGGTTCCTATATACCGGTTCGGGTTCCGGTTTTACAAAATCTCGTTAACCGGTTTCAGATTTTCCAGGTCCGGGTCCATTCGGTCCGGGTTTGTACCCACTTTCATCCCTAGGCCAAATAGTGGATAAATTGAGCGAATATGTGATAAATGGACTAACATTGCCAAATACTCAAACTGTTCGAAGGATTTGTATGTGATTTGTACTTGATGAATACTTATATATATTTTTTCCTACCACATATATATATATATATATATATATATATATATATATATATATATATATATATATATATATATATATATATATATAAAGTTCAACAAAGAACCAGTTTAAACTATTATACAAAATAACTATTACTTTTTGAAGTTTTAGATCTTATTATTTATCAAAAAAAATTCTAAAAATATAGAAAGTAATAACATTTTATCTTCTTTCCATTGATATCAAATTTGATAAAATTCTTTTTTACTCTTTTTATCCGTTCAAATTCACATTGTGAATTTGCACTATAAATCATTAATTTTGTATAAATTCACTGTAGCAATCTACACAATTTATGTAGAACAATAAAACTAAGATCGATAGATTCTATAGTAAATAACGTGAACTAAATGACAAGAAAACTGATTAAAAAAGTGTCGAATGCCTTAATTATAATAACCCTAGAAGAGTTCAATGAGAACTTTTCTTTAAGAGTTAAGTATGGTTACAAAGTGTTAACCGTAATAGACATATGCATGCAATATTTATAGGTTAGACGATAAGCATAAACATGAGAATGGATAGCCCCATCTCGAATATATAAACCTATACAAAACACATTTGACACAATACAAATAAGCCCAACAATCTCCCCCTTTGTGTCAAATAAGGAAGGAGTTCTTCTACTGCTGCTGTCTTTTCTGCACCTTGAACAATTTTGGCATTAAATTCAGAAGGGTGTTTCAGACAACAATATACCACTTAATCATATCCAAGAAGCATTTCTGATAAGTAGCATCGTTCGATTTACAAGCTTCGGTTAATTCCATGATGTAGTTTAGAGCAGACGTTGAGTGTAAGTTTTTTTCTAGCAAAAAGAACACACACCTCTGAACTTTTTGATTAGTCTTCCTTTGATACACCATGCTCCAATTGACTTTTCTTATTTTGCCTAGCTTCAACTTATTTAAATCCTATGATTCCTCCTCAGGTTTCAGAATTAGCTTCTTTTTAAGCACAACTGCTATTTCCACATCCATCTTTGGAAACTCTTGAATGTAACAAATAAGCATTTTGTTCAAATGAGCTACGATCGGCTCGTACTTCTGTTCCCCTTTGGACAAAATCAGGACCAAGGAAATCCAATCGTATGGATTCATGAAGGTAAATTAGCAAGTGTAAAATCATTTTCCACACGAATTGTTCCTCGAAACTCTTTGGATTTGATATTAATGAAGTTTTCAGTTGGAACTGGAGCATAAACCTTCACAACAACAATCTTTTTCCAACTCCATGTTTTGAATTGAGGCTTTCCATACTTAAGATAGAAAGAGAAGAGCATTTGATTTGCATCATTGTTAGAAATTGGAGCTCTCTCAATCTTCTCAAAGCATCTAAACAGAAAAGCCCTAGGAGTGATCGAAAAGTCGAGTTGAGAGTCAGCAGTATTATTCAGCTCAAACGATACCAAAGGCTCGAACCAACTGGTGCTCGGTTCATCAACCGCCTCCTTTTGAATCCTCTTCAGAGTCCACGGAGGGAAGAATGACTTCTGAGTTTCCAAGGTGACTTTTGCAGCTTTAGCCTCCATTTCTTGATCTTCTAATTCTTTATGAATTCTCAAAATATCATCAAGTTCAGAATCATGCTTCTTCCTGACAAGCTTTTCACCCTCAGACAACTCTTCCTTTTCTTCTTCATCATCAATCACCTTTTCTTTTCCTTTAGATGTAGAAGCTTTATTATCCTTCTCATCTTTCGATTTTGGTTTCTGCTCGGTTTCTTCAGTAGAATCAACAATCTTTTACTTGGGTTGTTCTTTCATATCTCTGCCTTGTTTCGGAAGAGCATCACGTTCTAAAACACCCTTAATTCTATCAAGCATCGAAAACACTAGTTTGAGTTTGTCTACAAGATTTTGTCGTACTGAGACTGTGAGTAGTGAATCATGAGTCTCAACCAGGCTTCGCAGATATTGGTTAATTTTTTTAACGCAACTTTTAATCACAACCTTCTCTGATTCCCAATCATCAAGATGCTTGCTGGTGTACTACAGCTTGACCGATATAGTCTTTGCTTTCTCAATCTTCTAAGCCAGTTTATCCATAAGATTGTTCTCAATTGAAAGGTCTTTCTGAAGTTGTTCAATCTTGGACACAACAGAAGCAGGTGAGTTCGTCATTAGCAACCTTGGTTTCAGAGCAGACAAGAGAAAGAGCTTCTTTATCAACTTGTACAGTAGAGCCATGACCTGCAATAAACTTATTAACCGCTTCGGTATTTTCATCTGACGACCTTCAGAAGCCAACCGTGAACTTTGTTACTTCATCATGCAATTTTTTGACTTTTTCGGTCGTTTCTGAAAATAGTTTTCTCTGACACATGGATAATCTTCGTAGATTCAGTAAGGACTTTTTCATTCTCCTTCGTAAGCATCTCAACCGTAGCTCTATGGGACTTCATCATAAACTCATAATTGGATAATGATTGGGAAGACTCCAAAATAGAATCCAACTTTTCATTTAACTATTTAAATTGCCTTTTAGTCATTGGTGCTTCATCATCATCACTATTTTGATTCATGGTGAAAGGGCTAAAAAATAAAATCTTGAAAATTATGTTGATCATCTCCAAACATAATATATGGATCGTCATCACTGAATGATGAAGTCGTAGAAGTGTCTTGATCCAGAGTGACAACCATATTGACATTAGCCCCCATATCAAATACGTTAACATTAATGTCGAAAGTGTGAACCACCTTCAAAACATATTTGGTGACAGGGACTTTGGGTGCACTGGTGACGGTTGATGTTGTTGCAGTGGAATCTGTAAAGATTGGAGTTGAGAATGAAACAAAAATCTGAGGAAGTGAAACTCCAACAGAAAACTGTGGTGGTAGAGGATTGATAGTGATCGGAATCGTGGTAGTTATTAGAGAGGATGGTGGAGTGTGCATTTGAAAGCAATCAAAAATAGGAGTAGAACATGCAGGTGGAGTAGATACCGTTAAAATTGGTGCGTTTGTAGCTGGTTTCGAATTGGCAGTGGTGTCTTCTACTTCATTCTGAACTAGATCCTCTTGAATATTAATGTGAGTCCTAGATTCTAAAGCCTCTTGATCTAATAGAGAAGGTGACCTTGGTTTTCGACCTGGCTTCTTGACCTTTTTCGAAGTTTTAACAACTTCAGAAGGGGAAACTTTCGCTTTTCGCTTTCCTCCCCTCTTTGGTTTGTTAACTTCTTCGAGTATCTTTCAGAATTCCTTTATTAAGAGGTGAACACCAGATGAGGGTTGTTTGTTATATTCAGTCACACTCACATTATCTTGAGGAACTCGTTCCAACATCTCGCTAGGAATAGAACCAACAAAGCCGAATTTGGTTGGATCATACATCATAAACGAAGAAGTTTGTAGAATCAGAATAAAAACAATCACCGAATCTTCCAACAATAGGACCTGGTAGGGTGATCATGAACATGTTTGACAATAACAGACCAAAAACGAGCACATGAGATCTCTATATGATGTGTGGATGAAACCGTGCTCTAAATTAGATGAGTCCACATAATAGAACCAAAGTCGAGATTTACTCCATGGTAGAGGCCATAGATAATTATGTAGAACATCCAACTTGTGCTGTTAGAACCTACAACACTTTCAGAGATACCCTTGAACAGAAGAGTAAATAAAGCGTTCCACATGGGAGGTAGAAAAGTCTTCCTGAAATTTGAAAATAAGGACAAATCCCCATTATATTCCATCTAGAAAAACATCTCAATGAGAGTAGAAGTGGAAATTGATTCTAGGAGCACGAGTCATTCAGCTGTAGCAAGCCCTAAAATTCTGCAGAAACAGGATGTAGAATTCGATGTCTTGTGAGAAGCTAACTTGAAGTGAATGACTCCATCCTGTTGAATGTAGGTAACAAACGAATAGGCCTTAGAGAGATGGACCCAAGGAACATTGTCCGCCATGGTTAGGGCTTGAGCCAGTGGCGAGTACCTTAGGCACTCAATTACGGGTCTTAGGGCTTCATTGTATCAAGACCGAGAGCGAGATTCTAACTAGGCTTGACATTCAATGTTATGACAGAGGTTGATTGACCGGCGAAGGAAGTGGTTTCAGATGATCCGACCATTGAAGCAACAAAGAAGATGATGAAAAGTAGAGAGAGAAAATGATTTTTTCCTTGGAAGGTTTTGCCAATCGAGTGAGCTGTGAGAGAAAATGAACCATCAAAAACTCTTATATACGTCATGAATGGAAAGAGAAAATCAGCACTTGACGTTCCCATATCCCATAAAAGTAGATCGGGAAAGCGTAACAACTCACCATGTGCCAGACAGCGTGTAACTGCCATGCGTGATTTCAAGAATTTTAAAACAATGTGCCTAACTTTGAATCGTTATCTCCAGTTGATACGTGTTGATTGTACTAGTTTTAATCCTAACAAACTCAAATAAAAATCAAATACGCGTAGGCAGTGTACCTATAGATAGCAGTCTAGTTCAAGCAAGTAGGGTATCGAACACAGGAAACGGTAAACAATTAAAATAATACAAGTATTTTCTAAATAAAACATGTAATTAAAATTGGGATTTCTCTAGTTTTACAAGACTAGAAACTTAAATAACTTCCTAAAAACTTTAGCCAAAAGGCATTTAACAACTAAAAGAGGAACAATAGACAACTAGATTCAATCAAATTAAAGAGACTTTCATTTAGATTCAATTCACTTATTCCTATGGTTGATTTTGTGGCAAGTTCAATGGATTAATATATCAATGGTTTCTGGTTTCTAATGTGATTAGGTTCATGTTCACTATTACTACTTCAAACAGTGATCAAGTGATTAAACTAACAAGTTTCCTAGTGTTCAGTTCAAATCAAGTAAGACTTGTAATATTAGTTAACTAAATTGGTCATTCAATCAACTCATATGTGGGTGGTCATCACACATGCTCATACATTAGCTTACTTATTTTCTAGTTAACCCTAGGTTCATGTTCACTAATACTAGGCATATAATCTTGTTTTCATAAAACTATAAGATTCAAGCAATCAAGAAGATGTTTATACAACTCAATACACTTGTTTATTAACAAAAAATAATTATCATTAACACATAAGGATCTTTTAATAAACTTAACACGATAAATAACCACATCAATATAATCCAAAGTCACTAATAAAACCATATTCATAAGAATATCTAGTCTAAACAGAATTATGGAGTTTAGCCCATAACTACAGCAATTAACATCATAATCCTGAAATCTAATGTTATAAACATGATTTAAAATAAAGATTAAGAGAAATATAGAAGTCTTATTCCTTTGATCTCTTCGTTTCCAAAGCCTCTAGTTGAAATTTTAAAACTAAAGCTTCTCAGAACCTTTCTAGCCTCCAAAAGTCATCCAGAGCCTCCAGCATCAGTTAGGGTTTAAATGAGAAACGATATATATATATATATATATATATATATATATATATATATATATATATATATATATATATATATATATATATATATATATATATATATATATATCAACTGACATTTTTTTTAAAATATATAATTCTAATGATACCATGTATATTTAAAAATTATTCATATTTAATATTTAAAAAATATAGATATCAATATTCATATTTTAAATTTTAAAAGTCAAAGCGAAAAATATAATAATTATTAGAGTTGGTATCTATTTTATCTCCTATACTAGGTTATAACCCGTGGAAACCAATCACGGGCAGTATATTTAAAACTTTTATATAGATAAAAAAAAATGTCAAAAAAACGAAGATCTTGTCGATTGTAAGTAATTATTAATTAATTTGTTAATCAAAATAAACATAATAATATTATTAAGATATGATTTTATATTTTCAAAATTTGAATGAATTTGATTTGTTACCAAAAAAAAGATACAATAAAAATCATAGGAAAATGCAAAGTGTCAAAGAGATATTCTAAAAAACTGACACGTGTCATTTTTAGGTTTCATTTATTAGAAGAGATAGAATAGATTTATAGGTTTTGAAATTTAAAATATATGGTAACTAAATTATGGTTTTAACATTTTATAATATATCGCATGGTGATTAACAATTTGCTTGAAAACAGAATCCACAAAATTTCGGCAACTTAGAATTTCTCAAATAAATTAAAATTTGAATAAAAAACTAAATGTCTACGTTCAATTGGAAAAAAAAAAAAATCCACTTTCATGCTTCTTTACCAGTTTACCTTACAGGTCAAAATATTTGAAATTTTAATAATACAAAAATTATCAAATCTTAGAATTACAATATCTTAATCAAAAATAAATAAGTATATCATGACTTTAGTGAGAAAATATGCTACACTTCCCATTTTCAAAATAAATCTGTCCTATTTTAAATATCAGTAACTTTTAACAATTTGGTATTAAGATATCTTAAAATAAATATTAATCTACGTTGACGGTTTTTAAGAAAAAAACTTCAAACGCAAAATGATAATTAAATTCGTAACAATTACTAATATTATTTTTAATCGAGTCACACCGGAATTTTTGTTGAATTCCATAGTTGAAAAACCAAATAATATTGTTTGTTATTAAAACGTTTACAGAAAATTATCAATTAACTAGGTTATAACCCGTGTACAACACGGTTGATAAAGTAAAATAACATAAAGATAATAAAAATCATAATCATGCATTAATAATAAATTTAAAAACATTATTTTTTTACAACATTGTATAAACAACAATAAAAATCGTAATAATTAAATTTTGTTAGTTGTCAAAAATTGATCCACAACTTCAAATAAAAAGTTGATTACAATTTAAGCCAAATTGAATTCATTAATTTAATTAGATTCACATCTTTTGCTTTCTGCTTCCTAGTCAATCCTCATCATATAACCAAAAGAACGGGATATATGAGCATGCTAGTAAAAACCAATAGTGTCCTTTATGAGAAATTCTTAGACATTTGATTATCTCTTAAAGCACAACAATAGTACAACCTGCATCATTACTCACTTTAAAAATATTGAAACTTAAATGTTTTTGGTGATACTATTGGATAGAATTTAATAATCAAATAAACGAACTCAAAAATTCCATAAAAGTAGAATTTATAATGATTGATTGTACATGATGGTTCGTGGGGTGGAAGGGGTGGGGGTTGGATTTTCATGGTGTTTGAGTTTTGAAATGTAAATTTAAAAAAAAAATGAACAAAACAAAAAATAAGTTAGATAAAAACATTTGGGTAACCGCATTGTAAAAATTGATATTAGTAAAGAGGTCCAAAAAAACACGGTGTAAATGAGGAATGCGTTTTAAAGATCTAAAAAGGAAATAACTCACAAAAAACTATGTGAGTGATTATGCTTCTAAAACGATAGGTAAACAATTGCATTTGTAATCAGAACATTATAGTGTCCCATTGGATGTTTATTTTTCAACCAGCTTCGTCCATAGTTCTATTTTTTTTAACAGAAAATCGACAAGAAAGGAGTACCAAGGTACAATTCAAAGACCGCTCCTGTAAAAATGCATGACAAAGAAAGTGAAGTGCTACTATCAACATCAGTTAGACATGATGCATTTAAACAGAAAAAAAAAATATGATTTTTATAAAACATGTTGTACACTACAACTTCAGGTGAGAAAAAACAAAATTGAGAATTAATTTATTTTTTTGAAATCAGGAAGGGAGGAGGGCCAAACATGTAAGTACCCCATTCATTGCATTTGTATTAATACTTTGATCATTAACTAACTTCATTAAGACTTGTAGTAATCTGGTCAATCATGGGATGGGGGTGACGCTACTGCCATACTAAATAGGCGTGTATATTTTTCTATGAGGGTTGTCAAGTGAGAGCAACAGAAGACCACATATAATTGCTTGAAATGCAAAAGAAAATTTAAACTACTGATTCTACTTTATCCTACAATGAAACAGATTTGAAAATGGAAAGGAAAGAATACAGAATAAACCATAAGTAAATGAACCAACAGAACCAGAAAGAAACAAAGGATATATATCTATGTCCATGTAAAACAGTTTTCACCAAATGTCAATTCTCAGTTGCAAGAGTCAATAGACTTAATAAAGATAGGAATTTATTTGGATAGAAATATACGACTGATTCTAATTCTCTTTTACAAACTTATCCTAGAAAGTGACTTGGTTTACATTCCACTTTTGCTTTAAAGTCTTAAACCAAGCAAACCACTGTTAATTTCACCCCACATTTAAAGATTGATACAAATTGATTTTAATTCTAAAAATCTTCAAAGAAACTAATAATTATCTTTAGGAGGTGTTTAGACGTGGGAGTGTGGGACTAAATATAAATTACCTAATTAGTGCTTGCCTTCCTAAAGGTTCCAACA